TGTGTGTGTGTGTTTCAAGCTACCACCAATTTTTTATTCATGTGGATTTTGGTACCCTGTGACACTATAGAAGGACATTTTATTTGTACTTGTTAATTCATGGTTTTTACTAATTTTTTAAGAATGTGTTCTTTTTAGACATGGTATTGTTTGACTTTGAGGATCAGAGATTGGACCCCTATCTAGTGAAGGAGTTGATTTCTAAGTGTCCAGGATGTTTAGGTTCATAGCCAGGATTTAAATCACAGAGTGGTGAACTGGTGGACAGGAGCTGACGGCTGAGATTTACTAATATGTTACCACTGAACCTGGAACACATAGATGTTTAAAATAACTAGTGAATTTATGGTAGGGCTGACTTGACCATTCCAAGTCAATTCTGATAAAAAGATTTACGTAACTATGTATAAGAGTCTGCAGCACATATCAAATGTCACATCAGTTTCTATACATGCTTTCTGATTCATTTGAGCGCTTAGCTTTATAATGCTTTTCTTCCATAATCTCTCACACTCCTGTGACTTTAAAGCTAACACTTGGGTCCTTCCTATTTCAGTGCTGTGTGGTGCTCAGGGCTTTTGTTTTGTTTTGTTTTCCCTGCTTGCCGATGACGTGGATTATAAAAGTGTTCGGTTACAGCGCCTGCTCCAGAGAAAGCAGCAAAGTGGGAACGCCGGTGGGACTGAGCTGTAGCTCAGAGATGGTTGGTCCATGCAGAGAACAGAGTAGGGGCAGAGGTCTCATTGATGATGTAGCCTCTAAAAGTGGCAAGCCTCCGAATCAGTGCAGCAGAGAAGATAAGCAGGCGGTTCCTTTTTCTGAATTGACTGGACCGTCAGTCCTGAGGGACTGCATTCATTTGAACTCTCAGGACACGGTGTTTTGCTTGAGACAAGACTAGGATACTCTGAGTCCAGCTGCCCCAATGGATTGTTCTCAAGGGTCTAATAGCTCATTTTGCTTGTGACCTCTGCTGGAGGGCACCGAGGGTCATTTTTACCCCCTGCCTCACCCCTTTGCAGGAGGAGATGGAATGAAAACAATGTAGGGCGTGGCGGTTCTGTCACTGGGTCTCCGAAGCACAGCTGAACTTGAACATCTCTTCAGCCATGATCCCTAAGGAGACAACTTTGTGTGCCCTGTTGGGTTGGGGTGCGGGGGGGGGGCCCCCCCCCCGACCAAAAAAGCCAACTAACAACAACAACAACAACAACAACAACAACAAGGCCAATCTGGCTAGTCTGGCCCTGTCGTTCTTTTTCTTTTCCTTAACATGTGGAAGAATCTACAAAAATCTAGTGTCCAAGGAGAAGAAATTAGCTCTAATTCTTTGTTCCTCTTTATGCCATTTTATGTGGTCCTTGAGTCAGCTGGGATCTTCCCTGTATAGCCTGTGACTTCCCTGTGTAGCCTCTGACTTCTTCCCTGTCTCACAGCAGACCACTGCTCTCGCCTGGGCCATTCTTGAGAGTTCGTGTTTAGCAGAGTTCACGTCTTCCACAGGTTGATGGTGGAAGGAAACAAAACAAAAACGAAAGCCTCAGCGGTGAAATCTTGTCTCCAGAATAATAGAACCTTTCACAATAAAAGGCAGTGTCTATTGAAGTCTAAACTAAGGACCGTTCTCCGTGGAGACAATACATTTATGACAGTATACAGGGATGAGGTAGAGCTCAGTGGTACAACACTTGTCTAGCATCCTTGAGGCCCTGGGTAAACACTTCCTCCCCAACAAGCATAGCAAATGGGATGTCTACGTGGGACTCAGTGTCCTTTGAGTCGTCCACCTGCTGAAGTTTTGAACACTCAAAGATTTTAAGCAATGCTGTGATAGCCCCCTTTCAAAGTATTGATAGAAAAATATTTTTAAAAGTCATTAATTTTACATGCAAATAATATATATCACAGTGTCAAAGAATTTTTAGATCTGGATATGAATTATAAAACGTTCAGTTTAACACATGCATTTTGAAGATGGGGAAATTGCAGTACCTCTTTCTACTGTAGTATGTTCTCAATGTAGAAGCAGAGAAAAGTACCTAAGGCTTCTGTTACTGATACAGGAGATCATCAGCAGTGATAGGCATAGGGTGTTCTTACTGTACATTTACCAACCCGAATGATGCACACAGGTGTATGTATTGTCATAGACGATGTATGTTACTGTTATGCGCTGCCTATTTAGTCTTCGGCTCAGGGTACCTTGACTTAACACTTTTCTCTACTGTGCGATGGTGTGGAATGGACAGGAATTCAGTGGCAACTGTGCTTTGAGTGTTGAACTTGAGTCTTCCTTTCTTGACAGGCTGTATAGCAGGGTGAGCTAACACACTCATTTAGCCAGGTGATGAGAAGGGCAAGCCACTGGTACCCTACAGGGCACCTCACTGCTGAGTGTTGCTGTTGTCTCTCCTTAATTGTTGAACACATTTTCAACTGATGCCACTTTCAAGTTACGACAGGCGTATCAAGAGAGAACCCCACTGCCGGTTAAGAAGTGTGTATATGTATGGTATACTGAAGAAAGTGACGCTCAGTGGCAGAGATGACTCCTGGGTTAGAGTCTTGACTCATATACACTTTTTAAAGGGTGGAATTTATATATAAACCCAGCCATTTAAAGATCCCTTCAAATGAAAATGAGTGTTTCTATCCCAATACAATTAGATACACAATACGTCTGTGTGATGGCTTCCTAAACTCTCCAGAAGAGGAAGGCTAGTTTCCCCCGTGACAGTCCCAACCCAGACTCCACAGGAGCACTGAGAGATAATTTACTTTTTTTCCTCTTTGAAAAACAGTTAACCATGAACTGTTTGTGTTGGTAAAGCCAGCCCTGAGAGCTTTGTTATTAATTTGGACTGTTCCGCACACCTGTCCCTTGTGGCTTTTCCAGCATTTTTCCCCCTTCGGTAAGTTCTTTTCTTTAGGGGATAGCCACCCTACCCAAGCCAAGCACTGAATACCTGACTGGCTTGGTAATGGGGAAACTATTTTCAGACCCGTTTGCATGGTTCAGCTTAGAAGGCTGGTCGTCCGAGAAGACGGTTTATTCGCTTAATCACAGAAATGGCTTGAGCCTCACTCTGACACTCCCAAAGTGTCACCTGTTAAGTGGTTCAATGCAGATGGACCACACCATCAAACAGTTGAAAAAAATCGTTATCTTAAAGTACCACGAGCCAAGGACTGGCTCGGTAGCATGTAGCATTACCATGCATTTTCTACAAAAACATACACACACCTCTGCACAGCAAAAGGCACAGCAAGCCTCACACCTGTGCGTGTGTGATCACACTTGTGACTGAGCAGTGCCGCACAGAATGGGTCCCACGGCAGGGGGCTGACTGGCTGGGAGTGGGGATGGAGGAGATTTGATGACTGTTGCACGTGCCGTTTCGCTATGAGTCACTCTCGTCTCCCAGTTGGCTATGCATCTAGACACTGGCTGTCTCACTTGCCGACTGTGAACTTGGGGGTTTTCTGGGTCATCAGGCAGGTGAAGCCCTTACAGAAAGCGACTTTTTAAATCTTTTTATAAATTTCACCTGCCTCTCTACATCACTTCACGGGGATAGATGCCAAACTCGTAGAGAGCAAGAGGCTCTGTATGATACATAAGGAGCAGGGGCAATGGGAGAAATTTTCAGTCATTTAGGAGGACCCTTGAGCAAATAGGCATTACATGGATGCCTTGAGAAAATTGTAATTTTTTTCAAAGCCATCATTACCAGATGACCAATTTTGAAGATCAAACTATTTATAGAAAGAGGAGACAAGTTTAAACTTCAATTTTACTCACTGTATCCCTCCAAAAGTAAGGCCAACTCAATAGTAGGTCCCCGTGTCATCTTCTAAACCAGAACTCTGGCAATTACCTTCAGCGGGGATTAGAGTTGTCCCTTAGTGTCCTTAGACACTAAGGTCCAGGACACCTTGGACACCATGATCTAGATTCCCCAGTCCCCCGTGTTAAATGACATGGTGTTTTCATAGAACCTGTGTTGATCTTCTGGTGTGATTTAAACCGTTTGTGTCTTGCTTGGACTTGTGACTTAAGATTGTTCTTCTCTATTGTTTAAGGAATAATGAAAAGGACCAAAGGTTGTACACGTTCACTACAGATACTACTATTTTGAAAAACATACTTGAAGTTCTTGGTTAGTTGCACTTAAAGACGTAAAACCTTGAGGATATGAAGGCTCCAATTTTTAACGGGAATTGCTTATTTCCAAGGAAATGGCATAATTCGGTGAGTGTGAGGCAGAGACACAAAGAATGGACTCAGATTTTTGACGTCCTTTGTAAGCTTTACTTGAGAGCTGGTATGTAGGAAAATCAAATGCTTGCTTAGTTTCTTGGGCATCTTATAATAGAGAACCAAATCCTATTGCAGAGGACATTTTGTTTGTTGTGGCAGATTTTGTGCTTTAAAACCAACTATTTCCAAAGCTCCATGGACCCTTATTTCTCTTTGTATCAGTTTCTCATTTACTAACTGAAGTTAGCCATTGGAGTGCCATGTTCTCATCGCTT